TGACTCCAGTTCCCAATTCTGCCTGCATTTCAATGAAGCCAGAGTCGACCCAATTAGCAAGCCAGATAATTACATAGTCCTTTGGATGGGACTCTATCTCCAACTCAGAGGTCATCCAGACTTCTTTCCTCTTTCCAGATTTATTTCTGGCTGTTTAAAGCAATGTTCTCACTGTTTTGAAATATTGCAATCATCACTGCAGAATGCCAGGGTGTTTCTGGGAGGGTGGGCTAAGTACAGTGTGGCTGGTCTTTCATAGCTCATACAGTCTTTGATTGTACTGCTAGAGTTCCAAAGAACACAGCTAATAATTATACATGGCAGGGTAAGTTAGTGGCTCAAGTGGTACAGTACTTGTTTGCCGAGTATGCAGGATGCCCCGCGTTTCATCTCCGGCACTGTATATATGAAGTATAGTAGTGAAATATTGCCATTTTAGTACCCAGGAAGTGGAGGCAGGAGGATCATGTTCAAGGTCATCCTTTTAGGTACATAGAAGTTGGAGACCAGCCTGGGCTACATGAGGGTGAACCTGAAGTTTGGTTAGACTAGCTGAGCAGTGAGCCCTGGGATCGTCCATCTCTGCCTTCCCAGTGCTGGGATTGCAGGTGTGTTCCACCTTGCACAGCTTTTACCTGGGCACTGGGGATCTGAACTCAGACCCTTAAGCTTGTACAGTAAATGCTTTAACAACTGACCCATCTCCCAAACCCCCTATTCCATATTTGAAGAAGCTCCTCTGGCTGTTATATATTGAGAATGGGTTAGAGAAGCTGTGTGTGTGTGTGTGTGTGTTTGTGCATGTGCCAGAGAGAGAGAGAGAGAGAGAGAGAGACAGACAGACAGACAGACAGACAGACAGACAGACAGACAGAGACAGAGAGACACATACACACAGAGAATGTGTGTGTTATGGTCCATTTATGGATATTATCCTGCCCCATTTAGGGAAGGGGCACGTTATTGGTTGGAGCTGAATGTGTGTGCTTTCAGCTATAACCTCAGAGGTCTCTAAGAAGCTTTCCACATTCAAGTGAGTTTTCTTTGCTTGTTGCCAGTCAGAATATGGTTGCAGCGAGACAGGCCCTGGGATCCGAAACAGAAAACGATGTGAATGACTCCTGTGGAGTTATTCACTCAGAAGAGCTGTAAGGCTCTTGCTGATTTGGCCACCAGGGAGGTAAGCGGCAGGGAGCAGTGGTTTATTGGCTATGCTAATATTAACCCCGGGCTCCTGCTAGATGCTCAGGTTACACAGGTTGATTGCCTGTATAACTCTGGAACACTACTTTGTATGTCGTGAAAGGGACAAGGAGTGGAGTCAAGAGAGGAGGGCGGAGCCCTGACCCTGGCTCTGCCATTTGAACAGACTGGCCATGTGGGTCCATCATTATTAAGGATGAACAAAAGAAAAAGACGTCAGCATGCACCACCTTCATTCATGGCTATGAAGGGCTCTAAGAAGTGGAAACACGTCCACAAACAGTCATAATGCTGGAGATGGAACATAGAGTCTAGCATGTGCTGAGAATTTAATCCAGAGCATTTACCACTGAGGTATCTACATCCTCCACTGACCAAAGCCAGCTTGACACAAACCTCAATATTACTGGGAAGAAAGAATTGTCTCCATCCAATTTCCTGGTGGCCTCATCTGTGAGACATTTTTTTAACTGCTGTCATGCAGGAAGACCCACCCCACTGTAGGCAGTACCATCCCTAGGTAGGTAGACATGAGCTGTAGGAGGAAGGTAGCTGAGCAAGCCAGAGGAAGGAAGCCAGAAAGTAAGTGGCATTCCTCAACAGTCTGTTTCAGGTCTGTCTTGGCTTCCCTCAGTGACAGACGGTAACCCATAAGTCAAATAAATCCTTTCCTCCTTCAGGTTGTTTTTGGCCAGTGTTTTATCACAACAACAGAAACCAAACTAGAACAATGTATTAGTCATTTCACTGAAGCCTAGAAAAGGAGCCAGCTAGATGTCAGTCTTTGAGCGTGGAGGTTTTTCTTCAGAGTCAGCTGAATTTTACTGACATCTTGCTACACTTCTCCACAAACAAGTGATTCACCACCATAGTGAAGAGCCCCACAATGAGTTTTGGAGAATAGCTCAGTCAATAAAATATTTTCCTTGGGAGCATGGCGACCCGTGTTGACCACCCAGAACCTACATAAAAAAGCTGGACACAGTGAAACCCTTGTAAACACATCAGTCCTGGGGAGGTGGAGATAGTCGGATTTCTGGAGCTCGCTGAGCAGACAGCCAGCCTACTGGAATTTGTGTGAGACTGCCTTAAGAAACTGAGGTGGAGAGCTTAAGGGATGACAGCTAAGGTTGTCTCCTGGCCTCCACACGTGTATGTGCATGCGTCCCTTATGCATCCACGTACAGAGAGAGGTGGGATGGAGAGAGGGGAGAGAGAAAAGGAGAGGGGAAGAGAGGAGGGGGAGGGAAGGGGCGGCTAAGGAGATAGAAAGGCTGGGTAAACGCATTCTCTGATGGAGACTGGGTTTGCCCAGGACAACATAGAGTTCAGAGCAGAGCAAAGTGGTCCAGGAAAGGGCAGACAGTAAACACTGTTCCCTCTGTAGGTCAGCTCGCTTTGCTATAATTACTCAATGATACCATTTTAGTACAAAAGCGTCCACCGACAAAGAGTAGGCATGGCTGTTTTCCAATAACATGTTGTTTACAAAAACAGATAATAGGCCAGACTCTGCATGGGCTCGGGTGCACCGACTGTTGACACAGTTTAAAAATGGGCAGCCAAGTCTCTTGCAGGCTGCTTGCATTTACCAGGTGCTCACAGGCTTGACCACTCTCCCACAGCAGTCTGAGAACCAGTTCTCACCATGGCAATTTTTAACTGGCCCAACAATGATACCAGTAGTAGCAACATTAGTTATGCTGTGAGCTGCACTACACAACTTATATTTATTAATTCATGTGATCATCATAGAAACCCTACTGAGGAGTCCTGTGGGGGGAAAAATGAGCCAAGGGCTAGGTATGTGGTTTGAATTCCCGAACCAGTGACTAAGGCAGAAGGTCAGCCTAGATAATACGGAAAGACCCTGTTTCAAAATAACAAGGCTGGTCATGGTGGCTCTCAGGAGGTCCTTACCTCAACATCTATAATCCCAGCAATTTGAGAGGTAGAGGTAAGAGGACTGTTAAAGAGTTTGAGGTCAGCCTGGTCTATATACTAAATATTACTAGACTGGCTTAGGCTGTGTAGTGTCTAGTCAGAAAGCAGAGATTATGAACAGGAAGTAGGGCAAGGCTGTAAATCCTCAAGGCCTTCCCCTGATTACCTATCTCCTTTAGGGAGGCCCCACCTCCTAAAGGTGACAAAATCTCCCAAAATAATATCACCAGCTTGGTATCAACACATCACATGAGCCCATGGGAATTCACTTTCAATTCACAACACACGCTTTTTATATACACACAGGATGAGAATCATTTCCTGCAGTTTTGAGTTTAGACTGTCACCTATCACATGGTGCTGGGGTGAATTCTCCCATCCCTGACACCTCCCAGCATGATGTTGGTACCAAGTATTTTGGAATTCAAAACTTTTAGTTAAGAATACTCAGCTTGCGAACACATAAGGAATAACCTTTTATTTTATGACTGCAGGGATCCCCTGTCTTGGGATCACTGTCAATGTATGACAGATAATTATGCTGGGAGCCTTCCTAAGCCTGTAGGATACATACAATATCCCTAACCCACACCCATTGGATGGTACTACCATCACCCAGACATGACAATCAAAATTATCTGGAGGCATTGCCAGGTCGCCCTCTGGAGGTTGGAGGCAGTGACACAGTCCCTAGTTGAGAACTATTATACTACAGTGTACAAAATTTAGCTTTCTATAATAGAGCATTACCTGGGAATAAATCAGTGTCTATAATAGCCAGTTGGACCAGCAAGATGGCTTAGTCCATGAAGGTACTTGCCACTAAGCCTGGCAACCTGAGTTTGATCTCAAGAACCTAGAACTTACATGGTAGAAGGAAAGAACTGACTGCTTCTGTAAGATGTTCTCTGACCTCCACATACATGCATATGTCATTCACTCACACACATGCACGCATATGTCATTCACTCACTCACACACATGCATGCATACATCATTCACTCACATACAAAGAAATGAATACATGTGGGGAGAAAAACCCTGTACCGGCTTCCTTGCTCTTGTAATATAGTCAGAATTGCAGAGCTAAAGGGTGGGTAACACCTCACTTTCTGAACATGTTATCAGAAAAAAGAACTAGTCTTCCTAGCTGGGCACATTACAGATGCCCTTAAGGGCCAGTTTCTAACTTCTTTCATGGAGGAGACACAAAGCGTGAGATCATAGCTATGATTATCCCAAGAAGAGTTTTACTGGACATTTAGGAAGAAGTATGTTTGAAGGTCATGGGGATATCTATCCTTCAAATATTTTTTAAGGTTACAAGATTGGCTCTCTGTGGCTAATACATTATATATAAAGAGACCTGTAACCTTCTAAACCATGCTTCCCCGGCAATTTTTTAAGGCATGTTTCATACTGAGCTTGCTGATTCAGCTAGACTGGCTGACCAGAGTCCCCTAGGGATCCTTTGCATCTACCTAGCACTGCTGGGGTTGCAAGCATGTGCCACAATGCCCGACTTTTTGTGTGGTGCTAGGGATGAGTTCAAGTCTTCATGCTTGCTGAAAGAGCACGTTCCCCACTCAGTCACTCTCTAGCCTATGTCTCACTTCTAACATGCAAAGAAGTAAAAAGTTTGGGATTAGAGTTGTTGTAAGAAGAGACAAGCAACCCCAGCCTCAGTTAAGATGCCAGAGCACTAGAGCAACCAAAACCCTCAACACTTCTATTAATGTCTAGTGGGCATAAGCCCTGGGCATTTGGCTTGATTACTCCCCGGATCAAAGTGAAATTAAATTACCTCACAAGCTTCCTCTCAGAGAGCTCGACACGCAGGCGGGCTGACTCACCTTCCAGAAACTATCCACTTTGCCATACACAAGGGACTGGTTCTGCCTTTTGATCTCGTTAATGTGGTGGATGTCGCTGGAGTTCAGGTGCTGCTCGACCACGAAGCCCAGAAAGCTGTTGTCTGGGGTATGAGCTGATGTGGAAAGCAAAAGACAGGGCTGTGAGCGGGTAGCAGGCACAGAGCAGCAGAGGCATTACAGAAAACATAGGCCAGTGCTGACCCACTGGTTCATTTGCTCTACATTTGGTTCTGCCTCAACCAGGAGCTCACAGTTAACTCTGATCCCAGCTGTGTTTACCATCTTGTTTTGGTAAATAAAAACCAAGCAGTCTGAACTACAATCTCACCTCCACTGTGGCTTATTCTCAGAGAAAAGATGTACAGGGGCTGGGGGAGATGGCTGAGCTGGGCAGCGGGGGGTCAGGGAGGGGGTGGGAGGAGCCAGCACAGCCCAATATCTGAGCTCCAGATTCAGTGAGAGACTGTCTGAAAATATTAAGTGAGGTGCTGGGGCTAAGCCTGGCAGTTAGAGTGTGATCAGGTTGAGATGGTTCAGTCAGGGGAGAGGAGGAAGGCACTTGCTACACACTCGGGCACCTGAGTTCTATTATTGCATGCAGAGAGGAGGCTGGGTGTGATGGTGTGTATCTGTAATCCTAGCACTGGTGGGGAGTCAGGCAGATCCCAGGGCCTCTCTGGCCAGCCAGGCTAGTGGAAAAAGATAAACTCAAGGTTCACTGAGAGACCCTGCCTTAAGATAGATAGATAGATAGATAGATAGATAGATAGATAGATAGATAGATAAACTAGTAAGGAAGTCATTGAAAATAATAAACGTCCCATACACACACACATGCACACACACGAGATGTACAATCATGGACTACACTATCATAGTCAAATATGGATTGTGTAAACAATGGCTGTCCCATGGGGTTCATAGCTTGATGACATCTTAGCCATCTTGGCTTGGTAAGTACAGGCTAAGGTGCCTACACAATAGCCACACACTGCATTTTGGTGCAGGGTTTCACTATGCAGCCCTGGCTGTCCTGAAACTTGCTTTGTAGACTAGACTGGCCTTGAACTCACAGATATCTGCCTGCCGCTGCTTCCAGAGTGCTAGGATTAAAGGCATGAGCCACCACCACCTAGCAACAAGAACAGGTCTCCTTAAGCAACTCTAACCATTAGCCTGGCATGATTGCCGTTGGGGTTACACTGGACAGATGTGTGAACTGAAGACCAAACAAAAAGCGAGGGTCTCTGGAGTACAAACCTCTCTAAAAGCCAAGTCCTTCAAAGCTGGGATGTGTATAGGGTAGACTACTCTAGAAGAAGAGAAGGATTTTTTTCTCTGGCCGACCCTACCTATGGGTTCTACAACTTCACCATGTACCCAAGTGAGAAGCTACACCACAGCAGCCAAGAACATTTGTATTTTGTGACTATAGGTTTTGAAATATTGTGTGCATGCATGTGTGAGTGTGTGTGAGTGTATGTGTGTGTGTCTTTGCAGGCACGCACGTTTCATGTCTGCATGTGTGGAGGTCAGAGGACACCTCAGGTGCCATTCTTCAGGAGCTGTCTACTTTGTTTTTGAGACAGGATCCCTTACTAGGTTCACTGACTAGGTAGACTGCCTGGCAGTGAACCTAGTGAACTTCCTTTCTCTGCTTCCCAAGTGCTGGGTTTCAAGCGTGTGACATCACGCCTGGCTGTCTATATGGGTTCTAGGAATTGAATTCAAGTTTTCCTGTGGCTATCAGTTTAACAACTGGAGTCACTGCCTCAGCCCTCCATGATTTTCAAGTATGTTTCACCAGGAGGGGGCTATCTGATCAGAAAACAATTCTCTCTTGATTAAATAGCAACCCTCATCAACTCTACCTCTCATCTTGTTCAGATAAATTTCAGCTTGTCGGGTGATGGCTCAGTGAAGGTCACACATGGCTGATAAGAAAGGAAGCAACCCTTGTTTAGTCTGACTCAGAAAACCAGCATAAATGACACAGAAGCAAACTCCCCCAGTACTGGAGCCTGGCTGTTCAGTGCAAACCACATTCTGTAATTTCAGCCATTCACCTTCGGATGCTTAAGTGGAGTTAAGTTTAAGCAAATTTCTCTTTTGCTTTGCTCTGGCAGCCCAGAAGTTTTCATTCCCCCTCTGCCTCTCCCTCTCCCTCTCCCTCTCCCTCTCCCTCTCCCTCTCCCTCTCCCCCTCTCTCTGTGTGGTGGAGGGGAGTGGGCATTCACACACAAGTGTCATTATACGCATGTGGGAGCCAGTTCAGTTGTCTTCCTCAATCAATTTCCACCTTATTGGTTTTTTCTAAACATTATTTATGTGTATAGGTGTGTGCCTGCATGAGGCCAGAAGAGGGCATCAGACCCCCTAGAAATGGGGTTATAGGAAGTTGTGGCTTGCCTGACATGGGTGCTGGAAATTGAAGAGCAGTGTGTACTTTCAAGCACTGAGCTGTGTCTTTAGTCCCCTCCCCCTCCCCCTAACACAGTAACTATCACTGACCTTGGGCTCGCTGCTTCAGCTAGACGGTGTGGCCAGTGAGCGCCACTAATCTATCCATCCCAGCAGACATTTTTATGTGGGTGCTGAGGATGTACTTTCCTACTGAGTGAGCCTGCAGAGACCTTGTCAACCCTTCAGAGGCGACCTGCTCAGAGTGAGACACCTAGGCTCTAGTCTCATCCTTATGAAGAAGAAGAGACTTGGGCCACAAAGGTGCTCTGTGGAGATGCACAGGCTACACAGATGCTACCTTGTCACCAGCTCATCTCCAAGGCAGGGGCCTAATGAGGGACACAGGAGGAGGGGCTAATAGGGCTCTGACTGGAGAGCTGTGCTTAGTCAGGCCAATCTGTTATTCCATTTCTGTGTTTTTGAACAAGTGCCCAGAGGCAAGGGCCATGGCTACAGTTAGCTGAAGAGGAAATTACTGAATAAATTCTATGGCCAACGAGAGACAAAGCAAGGGCTGGCTGCTAGCTGTTTTTATGCTACTTTGCCTTTTTTCCCCCTTTTTGAGGAGTGCAGAGGGGAGGGCACTAGAACTGGAAAGAACGGAATGATGGGAAGACAGCTTGTGCATGCTAAGAACCCTTTACTTTGTGACTTTGTAGACTTTAAGATGATAACGTTTAACTTGTATTTTCAGGAGACCGTTGGAGTGAATAACACTCCAGTCTTGGGATATTTTGTTCTGTGACTCAGTGTGTCTACGTCCCCATATGGGCACTTACAACACAATGACTACCTAAAGTACTTTGTGGGTCTTACTATATGATATATTATCTAAAACATAATAAAAGTAAGATGATTAAAAATTCACAAAAGAAAAACATACATGCAATTTTTTTTTGTGTGTGTCAAAGATTCTTTTAGCATTTAGCTTAGATGTGAAAGAGGGAGGAAAGAGTCTTTTTTTTTCTTTTTTGGAGGCCGGGTCTCCTATAGCCCCCTATATAGCCCACTCCAACCAAAGATGACCAAAGACGACCTTGAACTTCTCTTCCTCCTCCCTCCATCTCTCCATTGTTGCTAGAACTGAGGCAATCACCACTACAACTTATGTGTTCCTAGGAATGGACTCCAGAGATTCCCTACCTGCTAGGCAAACACAGTAACTACACCACATCCTCCTCCATTCTTACTGTGCTGTGCTGCAAGTGTGGTTGGGTACTAAATCAAATTTGAGACTGTGTGAAAACATTACATCTAGAAGCACCCCCACCACCCCCTGAAATTTCATCCATATTTTGAAGGTTTCAACTCCCAGTTTCACCATGAGACAACTTGAAGAACGGCACCCTGTATGCTGGTGGCTGAGGCTGTCACACGCTTCCTGACACAACTGCCAGAACACATGTCTGACCCTTCTATGTCTCTAAGTAATGCAACTTGTCACTGGACCCTGGATTTCTTAAACATGAAGGCACAAGAACCCCACCCCTCACATACAGCAGGTGATTCTAACTGACCCCAGGCTCCCTGTAGCTGACTACAAGGAGCTGCCCAGAATCGGTGTGCATCGAGGTATCTGTGGCAAAATCCAAAATCTGTGGCGAAATCCAAGCATTCTTCACTCTGCTTATAAAGACTCCAAAGCCACGGGCCTGGCTGATACTACCAAACATGACCTTCTTGGCCACAGGAGAAAAGGCTCAGTGGTTAAGAGCACTTGCTGCTCCTACAGAGGATCTAAGCTTGGTTCTAGTCCAAGGGGGATTTCATGCCTTTGGCCTCTGTTGGCACCTGCACCTCCCTGCCAAATCACACATGTACACTAACCTCAATTCAAGGTTTTTTTTTTTTTTTTTTTGCTTTGCCTAATGTTGAGAACACAGGCATCTGCGTGGTTAGAGGGCATGAAGGTGAATATTTGCATTTCAAAGGAAATCAGTAAAATCGCACCATAAATGAGACTCAGGGGCCATGGCAGTTTCTGTAATCAGTCCATCCCAGAAGAGAAACACATGGGAGTTCTACAAAAACCACCCTGATATCCGAGTTCTCTTTACTTTCCAAGTTCTGCTCCAAGCAAGTGTGATGGCAAATGCTGCCAACTAAAAAGAAGCTGAGATCACCCAGGAGAGCAGCCTCCGGGCAAATCGGTGAGGAAAGCTCTAGATTGGGTAAGCTGAGGTAGGAAGTCCCATCTTGAACGTGTGCAGCACTGTCCCATGGGCTGGGGTCCTGGGCTGAACAGAAAGGAGAAAGAGCTGAGCACCAGCATCCATCTCTCTCTGCTCCCTGACTGTGACCACATATGAACAGCTGTCTCATGCTCCCGCTGCCATGCCATCCCAGCCTGGATGGACTGTAATAGGCACCCCAACCCACCCCAACGCTGACTACGAGCCAAATCGAACCCTTCCTCCCTTAAGTCTCTCTGTTAGATATTTTGTCTCAGCAACAACCAACATATGACAGCAATCTTTGGTTCTTCACTATCACAACTCTGTAACAGATGAGGACACGGGGTTCTCGCCAGTCTACAGGTCAGGAAGTTGCAGTCCTGGGACTCTGAACCAGAACACTTCTTCCCAATTCTAACAGACAGCATTATAGTATACATCTTATTTTCTGTGCTGTATTAATCATGGCAACAAAC